TTTTGCTCTCACCACCACATACACTTGTGCCAAAAAATATTGATTGTCTTATACAACAATGGACATACACCAGTAGACATAGTAATGTAATAAAAAAGCAGAAGTATTCTTGTTTCTTTTCTTTTAACAAGATGTAAAGAGAATAAAAAAAAGAGCGATATGATATATGATTCCTTATGTCGACAATTACGCATATAAATTAATAGAATATTAAATTTTCTAATTTACTAAAATAAAAATCATTAATTTTTTATTTATTATATTTAAAACTAAAAACATTATTATTTATTTATTCAAACATTTTTAGCCAAAACAAGACAAAACGTAAATAGTTTAAAAATATAAAAAACTAATAAATTTTATATTAAAATAATCATTATCTAATTTAATATATTTTGTGATGTTAAATAATAATAAAGTCGAAGGAAAATGATTTATCAAGATAAAATAAGGGGGTTTGCTAACAAAAAAACACGTTGACTAAAACACGTAGATAACTACAACCACTAGCAATAAAAACTTAGGCAGGTAGCAAAATGTTCGGCACTGAACATGCATCCTATCTTAGCCACTAACCATAATAAAACAGAACATCCAAATCTTTTCCTCAGAACGATCACTGTACTACATGGAAACGTTGACCAACGAAACCAATGAGCTCAGATCGAAGTTTCTCCACGTTCTTCCATGTCAACAACGATCAACCGAAGGTTTCATAATGAAAATTTCACTTTCTTCTCTTTTAATATTTGTTTCTTTTCTCATTTACTCATCTCTGTAGATTTTGATTCTTGAAGTTCTTGTAAAGAAGTGTACATTGTTTCTTCTTGTTACCAATCTCCTAATCACCGGAGCTATGGAAACGCACGAAGCCGTTGACTTTCGAACTGAGTTTCTACGAGTTCTTCTTAGTCGACGATTAGGCCAAGGTTAATTTAATGATTTTTTTTATTAAATGTTATTATTCTATTAATCTAAAACTTGATTAAATCTTTTGGAACCGTATGCATCCAGTTCCATTGGTAGCTGAGTGTTCAAAGCCAGTGGAAAATCCTGTGTTTCAAAGTGCTGTTCCATCTACAGCTGTGAGAATATTATTATTATTATCGAATTTTCTCCTACATATATTAGATAAGAAAAAAAATAAAAAAATTCATTATTTTCATTAACAAACCAGGCATTAGAGTCATGTCCAAAGGAACATATTGATAACTTAAAAGATATGCTCAAAGAAGAAAACATTCATTTGCACACTGAGGTATTACATTTATTACACTCCCCAAGTTTTTGATCATTTTTATGTTCTAATATAATGTTGTTTATGTAATGGGAATAAGGCTGGAGAGCAAGGGAAATTGCCTTTGCTTATTTTAAGTTTGAAGGAGAAGAAGAGTGAAGAAAGAAGACCAGCTGTTGTGTTTATGCATGGCACAAGTGCAAACAAAGAATGGTTAAGGCCATGGCTTGAAGTAAAAACAATAACATGTTAACTTGTACTTTTGGTTTCTTATAAACTGAAAGTTGAATTAACTTGCTTGGTTTTCTTCTGAAGGCATATGCTTCAAGGGGATATGTAGCCATTGGTTTAGACTCTCGCTACCATGGGGAACGAGCTGACTCCAAAACTGCCTATCAAGATGTATAGTCATTGATTATGAATCATTAACTATTGATCTTTGTTCAGATCTGATGTTCTGACATTTGTGTAAATTTTAATGCAGGCTCTTATATCATCTTGGAAAAATGGAGACACAATGCCTTTCATCTTTGATACTGTAAACACATTACTTCTTCCATATAGCTCCATTTTTTTTAGTTTCACTTTAGAACTATTGGTCAATCTCAAAATTTTATAAACTAATATACATAAGTATTATGGTCCTAAACTGTAAAATAATTTTAAGACTTACACTAATTTTTTTATAGCCTCTTTAATTTTGGGACACGCCTGGTAAGACATTATTATTGCATCTGTAGATGTTGATGTTTTTGTTTTTCAGGTGTGGGATTTAATAAAGCTAGCTGAATATCTTACTCATCAGAGAAAAGATATAGACCCACAAAGGATAGGAATCACCGGTATTTCACTAGGAGGTCAGTCATAGAACACAATTGAGTACCAGGATTTGTAGCTATAAAACCATTACTAACTCTAATCATTTTGAAATCAAACACAGGGATGCATGCTTGGTTTGCTGCTGCAGTTGACACCCGCTATTCAGTAGCTGTTCCTTTGATCGGTGTTCAGGTGCCAACTTATCTTTAGCTGATTTGTATGAGAATGGTTTCCTACTTGAGAAGACTCTTCAAGTTTATAAAGCTTTGTATCTTGGTCAGGGATTCAAATGGGCAGTAGACAATGATGCCTGGCAAGCAAGAGTCAACAGTATAAAACCTTTATTTGAAGGTCACATTCTGAATAAACACAAAATGAATTAAGACTATCAAGTATGATGATTCTAATTCTAATTTATTTTCATGGTTTCAGAAGCAAGGATTGATATGGGAAAGAGCGAAATCGACAAAGAAGTTGTCGAGAAGGTAAGAAGCATGACAGTGACTATAAGTTCAGATTACAACTCAAAACAATTGGTTGTAACTGTATACACTAAAATAAAACAGGTGTGGGACAGAATAGCTCCTGGCCTAGCCTCTCAGTTTGATGCGCCCAACTCGTTACCAGTCATTGCTCCACGCCCTCTTTACCTCCTTAACGGTGAGCACAGTGTACTCTATGTATACCTCATTATCTACCGACACAAAGAAAAATAAATACTTAAGGATTTCATTTGCAGGCGCTGAGGATCCTCGTTGTCCTCTTGGTGGACTAGTTGTTCCAGCAAAGAGAGCTAAGACGGCATACAAGAAAGCTATGTCTCCTGGAAACTTCAAGGTACAAAACTTATATTACCATATAGTTCTAATGCAACATACAATGATTTGAAACGTATTTTGGTGTTTTAGTTTGTGGCAGAAGATGGAGTTGGACACCAAGTGACGAGTTTCATGATCAAAGAATCATCAGATTGGTTTGACAAGTTCCTTAAACCAGGAAACATGACTTCTAAGTTATAACTAAAACTGGGGTAGATGATTCATATGTCACAGCGATAAAATTGTAAGCCAATAAATAAGAGACATCTCAAAACTTTGGTTCCAAAGTATATGTATGGTTAAAATAAAGCATGAAAAGCATATCAATAAGGTAACACAGAGAAAATCTTTCATTCCAGCTTGATCCGGTCGTTTATTACACCTTCAAGCTGCACAATGAGAACACACAAAAAAAACAGTTGGATTCTTATCATGTCTGTAAGTATGGATGTTTGTGTATACCAAAAGCACAAAAGCAAAAGCAAAAGCACCAATGAACTTGAGATATGGAAAAAGTAGGAAAATACATATATTATTGATGTAGAATGAGAGTCTTGTGCTTTTATGTTTTTTTTTTTACTGATTGTGCTTGTTGTTAGCAATATGGTCCTGCATTTAGATTAGTAGATATAAAAGACAAAAAAAAGTGCATTGCTGAGATACTTTTAGTTAGGCCTGCGGCTATTAACAAAACCTGCTTGAACCGCTGTTTCGGTTAGGAGTTTCGGTCTGATTTGGCAATTATAGAAATCTGTTTTTCAGATTGATAGATAATTGGTTAATTCGGTTTTCTCAGAAAAAAAAAGGTTACTCAAACTATATGGATCTAAACCAAATTTCTGAACCGAACTGACTGAAATAGCCAAAATTTTTGGATTTTTTGTAAACAAATTTAACCTGAATTTTTAACAAATTTGGCGATATCAAATCCTTTCTCTGTATGATATTCACATACTACATCGAGACTCAAGTTTGGGTGCTTAGTGAACTTCTGTGACAAAACTTTTGCATCTAACTCTTATTTTAACGTTAACATATGATCAAGTTACATTGTTCTAAAATTTGTATAAGAAGATGAGACTAGTTCCTTTTTGTCAAATATAAATCTTCTTTTGACTAGCTACTGGTTAGTAATAAATTCAATTTATTTGATTTTGTCAAATACTATACAATACAATACATGACTGCCCCTTTCACAAAGCCCGCACGAAAACACGTTAACCTCATTCATTTTTATGTGGTTTGCGTGTAGGTTTTTATGAAAGAGTGATTGAAAACTCTTTTACGTTCGGTGTGAGCAACATATGCCATGTTTGCGTGTAGGTTTTCTGCTTTTTGATCTAACCCACATACACTTGTGCCAAAAATCTTGATTTGTCTTATACAACAAATCAATATTTTTGGCACAAGTGTCTTATACAACAAATCAATATTGATTTGATTTGTCTTATACAACAATGTTGAAATAGTTATTTTACAAAAAAAAATGTTGAAATAGTTTTTTACCAAAAAAAAAACAATGTTGAAATAGTAATGTGATAATTTTGTGATCCTATATGAAAGCAGAAAGAGAATTTTCCACACGAGGAAAGGGAATAAATAAAGAGAGATATGATATATGATGAGATATCCCCTATATATTAATTGAGAAACATTTGAAAAGATGTAACCTCAAGTTTGTATTAATTAAAAAGTAACCTTGCTTAGTTGTCAATCAATTAGCATACCAATTAAACTGACGTGGCAGCTTTAGGTTCAATTGAAATTTGCTAGGAAAAAATAATTAGAGACGCATATAACGCATGTAACATAGTTTATATATTTATATATATCGCACGCATGTAATGGAAGAAAAGGAAAATATACGATTTGATAACGATTTGCATATATTAACTATAATAACTTCATTCCTTTTAATTTATGGAAGTGTATATGTAAAATGGAAATTACTTTGTGACCAAGTACATACTTAAT